CAAATGTGCTGCCCCAAGCACCTGCTTGTTTTGCTGGTGCCTAGAGCTGGCCCTGGCCTCAGCGTACCACAGCCCACCTCCTCACAGATATCTAGGTGCTGATCAATGGGAGTTAGGTGCCTGAATACCTTAGAGGAGCTGGGACTGTGTTAGCATAAATAATGCCCCACAGAATATCCTTGCATTGTCAGCACAATGAGAGCCAACACACCCAAGGAACTGCAGGAAAGTAAAGTGAATGTGACAGATCTCAGCCATGGCCCTTGATTGGCAGTTTTCTAACTCCAGCCTACGGTGCAAGACAGGCCTTTGGTGCTAACAGGTCCCGGCACAAGAGGTAGCAGGAAGACCCACCTAGAACTAAAGAGGTGCAGCTTTGCACTGGGAACGTCCTAACTCCTTTTAAGGAAATGGGAATTTTCCTTTTCAGTCTGACTCACCATTATGACATCATCAACTTCCGCCCTGATGTATGGCCCCAGAATTCCCAAGTGCTCATCCAGCTCCCCACGTGCCAGCGGCTGGGTGAAAGAGTTGTCCAGGTACCCTCGGAAAACCACTTTCTTGTACGGCTGGAAGGGCTTCCTCCAGCCCCTACTTGGGCCCCTGCAAGAACAAGAAAGGACCACACCCTCTGTGGGAAGGCACCAGCCAGGCTTGCTGAGTGGAAGTCTTGAGGCATGGACATTGGAATCTGGGCTCTAATGCCTCTCTCCACCTTGACTCCCATCACAGCTCTAGTCCCGGCTAACTCCCCAAACGAGCACGTCCGTTGGCATTGTGATCTCACTACATACCTGCTCAGGCAGAGAGTCTGAATGTAGAGCCAAGCCAGGAGCCACCACAGGGCTCTGACTGGCGTTCAAGAGGCAAAGCATGAGCTGACTGTGACAGTGATCTATGTAGCTGCCAAGACATGGCAGTACAGCCCTGCAAATCTGTGGCTATCTGCTTTATATCCACGGACTGTTTTGCAGATACAAATTGTATCAGTACGGGGCTCTACATGTCGGGATATTCTCTCTGGTGCAGCTCTTCTTTGACTGGAATCCATTCAGAAGCCCAGGGGCTGAGGTACAGTCAGGTACTTACAGAAGCTCCAGCCTTCGCTGTCTTGGACCCTCTCTAGGTTCTGAGTGTTTAGTGCTCATAGCCACGCTGGAGAGCAATCCAAGTAGGGTAGCATTCAGACTGAGAGCAGAGGTGGTAGCTGAGCGTACCCCTATCTTCATCTCGCAGGTGGTTCACTGGCCTCTCCTCTTAGTCAATTGTTTTGGACATGGCTGTGGCCAGCTCAGCAGCCACACAGCACACAGCACTCCATGGAGGATGCTCCCTTTGGCATCCCCCAGCAGTGTGGACAAACTGTCAAGTAGGGGACTAATCATAGACCAGTGTGATGCTCATTCCTCTCCTACATCTCCTTAGCACTGCCAGGTCTATAGGAAGCCAATGACTAAGTCTGCGGCTCCAACTCCTGCCCCTCACCTGGTACGGCAAACTGATACTGCAAACCACTGGGAGGACACATTAGAGCCAGAATCTTTGGGATCAAGCTAGGGAGGACGTGAACTCCTCAACAAAGCGAAGCAGCAGGTAGCAGGGCAGAGTTCAGTTGACTGCCACCAGCTGGGCTGCTACACTTGGAAGGAAGATCAAGGACTCAAGAGGAAGACAAGACTCTATTGGGGTGGAGCATCATGAATAGGACAGGCTGGGCTGGAACTCAGTGTCTGTCTCGTGGTGGGGCGTGTACCCTGGATGGATCTCTAAGCCTTGTCTGGCTTTGTTCATCCATGCTGCTCCGTAGAAGGGAAAGCAATCAATAGGGTGGGAAAGATGCCTCATGCAAGGGGAAGGATGTGTCTGGTAAAACTTACTTCACTTTTAGAAAGTGTTGGGGTCTCTGGCTCTCATATTCCCACAGCACTTCGACAGCTGCAATGAAATACTGCTGGACCCTCCCAGTGAAGGTGCGCAGATCTTGGTCCTCCTCCCCATAGATGTCAAACTCATCAGTGTCTCCCTTGGATTTGCTGTAGTCATCATAGTCTGATTTTTCCTTCTGGGGCATTGAGATGTTGGACTTGACCATGTTGTTTAGGGCATTGGGTTCTCTAGGGATGTCAAAATATTCCTCAGATCCAGGAGTGGAGCTCCTGTTCTTTGCTTTGCTGATGCTTTCCCTGCCGCTCGGTGTCTCATCTACCCCCTGCATCTCCTCCTTCCATTCTGGTGTCTGTATTTTACTACCTGAGAGGGGAATGGCATCTTCCTTTTTAAACACTTGATTTTCTTGGTGGCTGTGCTTCAGCTTCCATTGGTCCCCTTTAAGGGTCTGGTTGAGAGCCACGCCATCTTGGGGAAGTGGATAGTTTCCTTTGGAGGTCTGTTTTGTCAGGATCTCTGAGGCCTCTTTGCTTGCTGGAAAATCCTTAGATTCAGTTCCTAATACTTGGTCCTCAACGGCACTAGATTTGAGCTCCTGCTGCAGTTTACCAAAGATCCATGTTTCCTTCAGCTCCAGCTGGTCCAAGGTGCTCACTTCCCCATCTGTCACATTTCCCTTGGGCTGCAAGCTCAAATGTGCCTCCCAATCAACACCCCTTTTACGCTGCATTGCAGTTACTGCAGGTGTCTCAATTCCACTCACTTGCCCCACAACCTGTGTTGAGATGGGGACCATACTCGTTATTTTCTCTTCTGCGGATGCAGTGGGCTTTGTGTCTGCCTCAGTTCCTACCTCCTGTTCCTCTTTGGTAGTTTTCTCACTTGAATAGGCAGAGGTAGCACTAGTTTTCTCCTCCTCTGACTCTTCCACCATCAGAAAGGAGTTACCTCCTCTCTGAGTTGTATCACTTTCACCTTGGTTGTCATAGTGTCCCTCTACTGCTGGTGGCTCATGACTGCTGGCATGGTATGGAAGAGAAGCTGACACAACCCTGATATATCCTGTGGGGTTATCAGTGCCAGTTGCTTCATGATCTCTTGGTGTTGTGTCTACCAAGAGTGGCCTAGCAGCAAGGGGGTTATTGTATGCTCTGTTATTGTAACTTATCTTGATAGTGCCTCTGAGCACAGCTCCGATTCCTCCTGTATGTTTGCCAGAGTTATGCCTTCCCTTCAATGCTCTGGCTTTATCCTCCAGTCCTTGCTGCACTTCTGTTTCTTCCAGTGAAGTTCCATGTGATTCCAGGGACCTCTTTTTTACATAAGTGCTGCATCCTTGAGAGTTTTGATCACAGGGCTTGTCAGCTGTCCTTTGCACTAGCTTCCCAGGGGTCCGGCTGTTCAAGTCCAGCTCCATTCTCTTACCTTTATGGAGTGTTCCTTCTTTGTCTGATGAACTGGCCTCCAGGAGACCTGTACCATTTATCAAGTCCACTAGCTCTGCTGGAGGTACTTTCCTGTTGAGATAAACTTCCTCATTATCTAATAAGCTGTTGTCTTCATTTGTTGGCCCATCTAAACTTAGCGCAGTAACCTTGTGTTTCAGAAATGTGTCTTTGCTGCTTTGTAAAGGGGCCTTTTCGAACTGCCTCTCGTTAGCCATAACATTTAATTTGAGTAAGTCAACGTTCTCCATTTCAGACATTTCCTCGCTTTCTGTAGCTTCTTGAAACTTTGTCCCCAGTATTAATTCATCGCTTTCTTGTGTAGTAACATAGCTGGTGGCAAAAATGTCATTGTGGCCCAGAAATGTTTTTTTTAGAAGGCTTGTACCATTGGTAAGTTTATCTGGGGCTAGCCTGATGCTACTTTCTGCAGACAAGGAGTGTTCTACATTTGAAAGACCCAGACCATCACCAGATTTATCCTGTCCTGTCTCATGGTCCAATGGACGGTTTTCTGCAAGCCTCAGATCTGCTGTATCATAGGTATCTAACAGTGCAATGTTAGTCCTACCAAGGAGAAGATCTTTCTGATGTGGTGCAGGGGTCCTTTGAATTCCTGTATCATTTGAAGACTTCTCTACAGTCTTTTCAAAGAATACTTCTCCATTTGTAGCTGATGTGTTCTCCTGAAGCATGGTACCATATGCTGGGCTATTTAACTTTCCTTCTTGAGAAGTTTCATAAAGACCCAGTGAAGCCTCTTCTTGAAGCCTGGTGTCATTTTCTAACCTAGTGTCTAGTTGTATCGGTGCACCATTGCTTTTAAGAAATGCTTTCCCACTGTTCACATAGGTGATGACACGTATACTTGTGTTATCTGCTGACTTGTCTAATGATGCTGAAGTACTATTCCCTTTAAGGAAAGTATTATCATTAGTTGATGAAGTCATTTCTGTAGCTATTGTATCATTCAGTGGTATGTGTGGCTTTAAAGATGTAATATTCAATTCTAGAGGCATTTCTTCATCATGTAATGGAATCCTTTCTTGAAACCTAGAATCATGTTTTGAGTCATTCAGTTGCAGTGAACTATCATTCCCTTGAAGACCAGTTTCTTCAGCATTAAAGGAAGGTTCCTGATGGCCCATCACACGTGCTGACTCTTTTAATTGTGCCAAAGTAACATTCCCTTTAAGAAATTTTTCTAAGTTGGCCAATGGAGCAGTTAGTTGGAACATCACATCGTCTACTGACTTGTGCAGCTCTAAATTCTCTTTAGCCATCTCTACAGCTTGAATTGGTCTACGCTTTCCAAAGAAGAGAGTATCTCCTTCTGGATATGAGCCAGATGCTGCAGCTCTTGCTGAACTTGTGTTATGATGGACCACTTCACTTAAGCTTGTTGAGTTTCCTTCAGGAGAAGGGTGTCCAAATCCTTGGTCAGGGCTGATCATTTCTGACAATCCTGCCTCTTCTGAGAAGGAATCATAAGATATTGGCTCAAAGCTAGTCTCTGTTTGAGAAGATAGGGAAAGGCCATGTAGATCGGACAGCACTGATGTGCTGTTGGAAGAGGGGTCCATGGAATTCTTCCTGCTGTTCTGAAGTCTGTTACTGAATTTGAGGGGCTGGCTGGGTTTTCTCAAGCAGGATGTTAGCTGGAGGTTGAGCGTCTCTGTTTCCTTTTCGGAAGAAGTGACATTACGATGCTTTCTCAGACACAGCCTGCGCCATCTCTTATTCTTGGGGAAGCCCCTAGGTTGAAGGACATTGCCCTCATTTGTCAAGTAATCCGGTATCAAATCATAATCTTCCCCATAGGAATACAGTTCTGGATCAGTGTTGCACTTGGAGACTGTGAACTTTGCCCACATTCCTCTGTCTCTGAAGTCAGGATTCAGGCATGTCAGCATCCATACGCCTATCCCAGGAAAGGACAAAAGAACAGCGTTAGTCCAACATACCAGGAAATCTCAAGAGTGATCACCCAGCTGGTGCTCCCTCATTAGCAAGCTCTGTATTTTAAGAATGCTTCTGACATAAGCCAATGACATTCTTGTTTCCACTCCCACTGAAATCTATCACAGACTGGGTTCACCTGTCATGCATGTCTCTGTGTGCTGCAACATTTCTGGCAGTGTTTAGAATTAACCCCGGCAAGGATTTTTAACTGCTTTAATGCTCCCTAACAAACCTAATGAATTGACTGCATCCCTGGTACCATCACCTTTACCTGGTATGTCCCCACAATGGCTTCAGTGGAGAGTAGCTATGAAGTGGTTAATACAATGGCTGCAACTTTACATGTAGGTGCCAGTGGGATTCCAGAATCAACCCATCAAAGGTTTGGTTGGTGCTGTCAGATACACTATACTGGTTCTATGGTATAATGGTCAGCATTCTGGACTTTGAATCCAGTCATCTGAGTTCACAAATCTCAGAAGAGCCAATACTTGGTTGGTTGTCCATGGGTGGCAGTGGATTCTCCATCACTGGCAATTTTTAAATCAAGACCGGCAGTTTTTCTAAAAGATCTGCTCTATTTCAAACAGGAATATTATGGGGCAGTTCTCTGGCCTATGTTCTGCAGGAGGGCCTTTGAATCTATGAACCTATGGTGCAGAATGTCTTCTGCATATGCTGATCTCCTGAGTCCCAGTCACCATTTCTCTCCTGCTCAAGTTAAAAGAAATCAAAGCCCCTCTATCACAAAGCCCCTCTTCCCACCCCCCTGCTCTGACCAGTTCATTCCTTCCTGGTCAACTCTGAACAGCCAAGACTGGATACAATAACAATAATCTACATTTAGATTATTCTAATAGAGATTTAGATAATTCTCCCCATGAACTGTTGATTTCTGGGTTCCCTCCCCCCTCCTTCACTAAAGAGGACAGGGCCTTCTCTTGCTTTGAGGGGCTGTGCGGGTCCTGGTCACCAAATAGGCTGGTGCCGTTCACCCGTTCTAAATTCACTTACATAAATACAATTATGCCACTTTCTTATTCTCTCCAGGGTGGGCAAAGGGCCAAGGGCTAAAGCCACAAGCACAACTCTGAGTTACCAGTGCCCATGTGGCTGTTTCAAATCAGAAATAGGAAAAAGCTCAAGGGAAGCTGGCATTGATTGCACAGCACACTGGCATCATAACTAAGGTTACCATTCGTCCGGATTCCCCCAGACATGTCCAGCTTTTTGAGCTAAAAATAGCGTCCGGGGGGAATTTGTAAATGTCCGGACTTCCCCCGCCCCATGCAGAGCGCACGCGGCTAACAGGGCAGCCAGCCGGATGGTGCCACTTACATGAGGCTCCGACAGCCAGAGAGAGCCCCTCCTCCTCTCCCCTGCAGCAGAGATCACTCCCTCCCTCCCTGCATTCGCAGATCGCCTCCGGCAGTCTGGAGCTCCTCCCCCGCTCCCCCTCCCCTGCTCCCCAGCGTGCCGGGACGAGCGGCTCAGGCCGTTCCTGAGCAAGCTCACATAGACATTAGGCGAAGGCCAACAACAAGGGGGCCAGGGAGTCGGAAAAGGGACAGGGAGGTTCTGGAGGGGGCAGTCAAGAGACGGAGGGGGTCGGGGGGGGGCTTTCTGGGGGTGGGGGTGTGGATAAGGTTTTGGGCAGTCAGGGTACAGGTAGGGGGTAGGGTGCTGGGGGGCATTTGGGGGGGGTCTTAGGAGGGGGCAGTTAGGGGACAAGGAACAGAGAGGCTTAGGAAGGGGGTGGGGTTCTGGAGGGCAGTTAGGAGCAGGGGTCCCAGGAGGGGGCAGTCAGGGGACAAGGAGCAGGGGGGGGTGTTTGGGAGTTCTGGGGGGGGGCTGTCAGGTGGCAGAGGTGGGGAGAGGGATCGGAGCAGTCAGGGGACAGGGAGCAGAGGGGTTTAGATGGGTCGGGAGTTCTGGGGGGGGGCTGTCAGGGGGTGGAGAGTGGTTGGATGGGGCGTGGGAGTCCCAGGGGTCTGTCTGGGGGTGGGGGTGTGGATAAGGGTTGGGGCAGTCAGGGTACAGGTAGGGGGTAGAGTCCTAGGGGGCCAGTTAGGATGGGGGGAGGGTCTTAGGAGGGGGCAGTCAGGGGACAAGAGGCAGGGAGGCTTAGGTAGGGGGTGGAGTCCTGGGGGGCAGTTAGGGGCAGAGGTCCCAGAAGGGGGCAGTCAGGGGACAAGGAGCGGGGGAAGGGTTGGGGGTTCTGAGGGGTGGAAGTGGGAGGGGCAGGGGCGGGGCTAGGGCAGGACAGGGGCGGGGCTAGGGCGGGGCTCCTCCCGTCCTCTTTTTGCTTGCTGAAATATGGTAACCCTATCATAACAGGCCTGACCCAACTCCCATAAAAGTTGGTGACTAGACTCCCTGTGCCGCTGGGAGTGTCTGATCCAGTGAGTGTGACAGGCAGGTTAGGGATGAGGAAGAAGAAAGGCCACCAGGTAAACTCTGAGATTAAACGACTGAGTTAAATATGTGGGCTGAGATTAGGCTAATTGCCTACAGGATGTGGACACTGGGTTGTCATTCATTCCAATGGAACCTGGGCGCACACACCTTGGTGTGGCTTTGGCAATCTCAGCCATGATCCATGATGGGGATTATAGTTACTACATTCAAGCTGTTCAGTGACTTGTTTTAACGGCTCAGCAGACACACTGACAGATGAAATGTTCATGGAGGAAACTGGACTGCAGCGCTGAGATGCACCAGATGCTAAGGGGTGCCAGATGGAATTAGGCTCATTCCACAGAACTGTCCCCAGCAGTGTTTCCATCCCTCACTAAGAGTGATTTTCCTGACACCAGCAGAAAGCCATAGGCCCAGCATGTTGGGATTCACTATCGTTTGGAAACTGGGTTGGGAGGCTGGAACAAACTTGACAGAGCGAATATGGAAGAATTTGCATGCATTATAACAGAACAAAAACACTTAAAATAATCTCAACTAGGCACTAAAATATAGTCTGTTCTCCAGCCATACATATTGTCAGTAAGATTTGTTCTGAGTTTTTAAAAGGCTGCAAGAATGTTGGGTGCTATTTAAAATTTAAATCTGCATACATGTGCTGTGCTGTGCTGATCTTACTGCAGTGTCATGCAATGGCATGACTCATACTGGTAAAAATGTGGTGGTAATCTACCCAGGCTCTGCCCACAACTACAGAAAAGCTGAAATTCTGCTAAAACTATCAGCAGTGAAACAGTTAATGATGCTGGCCTTGCAAAACCAAGCGAAAATTACAGCTGACTTAAAAAATTCAAGGCCTTCTCTATAAATGATAAACAAAAATAAAGGAACAAGCCTAATTTTTAAAAGAATAATTTGCAGATCACTTTGACAAGAAACAAACAACAAATTATTGAATAGAAACAGCACTCCCAGGTGGTGGAACCTTGTCTACCATGACTCAGTCCAGATGTATTTTTTAAACCATTTTTAATACAGTTTTAAGTACGTTTGATGGGAGTGAAAGGTGCCAGATTGACAGCCCTGGGGATTCCTGTATTTATTATAGACAAGATACAGCATATGCAGAGACAGCATATGCTTCTTCCACACTGTCCTTGTCAATGTATCCCGGAGAGGCGCCCCTAGAAGGGAAAGGTGTGTTAATTCTTTCAGGCTCATTTAGGCCTGGATCTTGCCAGATCCATGCGGGCAGATTCTTACACCCTTGCATAGTCCCAGGGAAGTCAATGAGGCTGTGCACAGACAGAGCTCCTCCCTCGTGGATCAAGGCCTGAGTCATTTGCCTCTGTGTTGTTCAGATGGCCAACAAGGAGGCCAGTGCAGATGGTAGCTTTTTATTGCCACTAGGAATGGGACTCGAGCCATCTGGGCACTTCACATAAGACATGAGATCACCATTAGATGGTAACAGCATTTACCTTGTCGAACCAGTCCCCTTGAGGCAGAAGGCTCTGCGTCCCATCACCCATCCCACATGGGATTCTGTAGGAGTGGAACAGTCTAGTTTTGCAACTCAAGGAGTAGTGATGGCAAGTTAAGGAAGGGTGCTTGTTGCATTCCATAACGGGGGAATCTGAGTGGCCAAAAGAGTGGTTGTGGCTTTTCTAAAGTCTTTTGGGAATGACCAATCAGCTTCTGCCCCTGGCACCTGAATAAAGTACTCTGGGAATTACTCTCAAAGTTCCTTGCTCAAACAAAAAAGTTTAAAAGTTTAACTATTTTTTAAATTTAGAGTTTTTATAGGGGTAACTTCACAATAACATTACATCTCTCAGCATTCTTCACATCATTCGTTAGTGGCCAAAACAGGCACAAAATGCGACTGTTGTATTTCTCAGCTCTGCTCTGCTGTTTCTCTGGAACACGTAACACCCAAGAAAGATTTCAGAGACTGGAAATTAGGTGCTTCTCTGAAGCTATAATCTGCAGGGTTTGACAATGGGTAGCACACACAATACCGAATATGATTTTTCTTCATCTATACACTGGGCACCAGGTCATGGTCAGCATCAGGCCAGCAAGGCTGATTCTTCACAACTGTGTTCAAACATGGTAAACTTCTGTAAGGTAGCCACACCGTAAGAGTTTGTTCTGATGATAGGAGTACTTGTGGCACCTTAGAGACTAACACATTTATTTGAGCATAAGCTTTCATGGGCTACAGCCCACTTTATCAGATGCATAGAATGGAACATATAGTAAGAAGAGTTTTTTTTTTCTCCTGCTGATAATAGCTCATCTTAATTAATTAGCCTCTTAGAGTTAGTATGGCAACTTCCACCTTTTCATGTTCTCTGTATGCATATATATATCTTCTTACTATATGTTCCATTCTATGCATCTGATTAAGTGGGCTGTAGACCACGAAAGCTTATGCTCAAATAAATGTGTTAGTCTCTAAGGTGCCACAAGTACTCCTGTTCTTTTTGCGGATACAGACTAACACGGCTACTACTCTGAAACCTGTTCTGATGATGTAACTTGATAGCTAGCTGAGGAGCTCTGTTGGGGGGCGGGCGGGGGTGAGGGGAGGGAGAAGGGCGGAACCAGATGCACCTGGAATTACCATTTACGTGCTCAGGCAGTTTCAGTTGAGTTCTGATTAATCTATCTCTTTCTCTTAATAAAGCTGGTTATTTTTCTAGCTGATCCCTACAGTTCATGCACGTAAAATGCATGATGGAACATGCTGACCTGTCTCTGTTAACATATACTACACAGCAGCTGGGCACAGTAATTTATAAAACAACTAAAGTTATTAACCTGGCTTTTCCATGCTCATGAAGACGGTTTCTCCAGAAAGTGGAAAGAGGGTGAGCATGTCCTTAAAGACCATGTTGTGTTTGAAGGTGTTTCCAGAGAAGAAAACAGACAGGAAGTCTGTCTGGGCACCGACACTTAAGACATACCAGTACACCACTTGATGCAGGCAAAGTTTCAGGTGCAGGTTGTCAAAGACGTAGCCATTAATACCTGGAAGAGGCATAGAGTGTGAGAAGTTTTATCAGTGCTTTGGTCTCACATGGCGGCTAACCTTTTATATTTTAGCTGGGTGTGACAATACAGTTAAGACTTCAGTTCATTCCCTGACAACAAGCAGCTGTTGATCACATTCCCCCTCCAGAAGGAGCCCAGATCAGGACAATCATGACCAGCTTACACTCAAGAAAGAACCCAAGATCAGGTCATTCATTGCTAGCTAATATCAGCTAACACTGATCTACCATAATTGTGCTGAGCCAATAAGTAAGATAGGTCCTTATGTATTGTGACAAAGTTCCTCCTCTATCTTGGTGGGTCCTGCGCTTATTGGCGGATTTTCTTGCCTCAGAGAT